AGAAATGCTACATGGCCAGCGGAAAAGGGCGGACACCAGCAGTGACACAAAGGGCGGACACATCTTAAGAAAGAATTGAGAACCCCTAACAGTAAACTTTTGGGGAAATATGTTTTGAGACCACAGAACGTTGCAAAAAAACAGAAACCTAGACTCTGGACCTCCAAGAAGGGTTGCTATCACAAAGGGGTTTTGTGTGGAGTGCGTATTTGGTCTACCTTCGTCTGCGCCTTTGCTTCTGGTTATATAATGAGAGTTTATTTCAACAAGGTCTTTTGAACGCCGTCTTCAGGTATAAAAGCCACGGTGAAGATATATAAACATATATAATGAATTGGAGATCGCTTCGCGATGGTTCCCCAGTCACGCTGCAGACCTTTGGTCTTTGCATGATGGGACTGTCCCCACGAAGTGGCGGCTGGCAAGTCTCTAGCTCTTGGTCACCCGCAAATGCGGAGCGACTTGCAGCCTCAAAGCACATGTTTGGCAAATTGAGGATAGTTGATGGTTCTGCGCGTTGAAACCATTCACTGCAAAACGCGCCTGAAGAATTCACGTCCACGCAGACCCCAAGACTTCTGAACCCCCGAGGAAGACATCGAATTCTCGATCCGCCACGTCGGCTCCTATGGCAATTAACTTGCACAAAATCCTACCGTGTAAAGGCACTGGGCAATTAAAACGCCATTCGTTGTTGGCTTCAATCATTTGGTAACATATCTGAGTGATGCAATTGCCCATCTGTATCTGCAGGATACAGCATGCTTCGCAATGCAGCTAAGGTTCCAGAAAGAGCAAGCCTTTGCCCCTATGAACCCATCGCGTTCCAGTGGAGATATCTTTGAGTTTTACCTTGTCTGATACGACATGTTCGGGCCCGAAAGAGCTGAGCTGGGACTGCATGTATCCACTGCTTAGGTTTCGTACTTAGCTACTCGGCTACTCCTCCTGTATCTCACATCTCCATAAGCATAATCTGCTTGCGCATTTGCTGCGTCAATGGCTTCAAGGAGCGACGAAGGCTCGGCCGACAAAAACAGAAAACAAACAGGAAAAGAGGAGGGGGAAGCTTGTGTACCTTGAGGGTAGCTAGCAAATTAACAACCCCAATAGCAAAGCATCGACCAAGATCTGGTGTGTTTTTCTGTTGCATTGTTATTTCACATATCCAACAACTGGGACAGTTCTCTAAAAAGATCAGACGCGGTCCAATAGTCTACACACAAAGCTAAATGTATGACCACGAAGCACTTAAGGAATGTTTGCCGATGGCCGGCTTGTATGTTCAAGTGCTCAAGTGTCTGCGCACGATGAACCATCGGACAAGGAATGAAAGGAATAAAGACTATACAGATGATAACAGGATAATTGAACCAAACCAGACAGAAAGCGCAGTTTAAAACGAACACGCAATTTATAAACGAAAGGTGCAGTGAATGCAGTTGTCAGAGAGACCGAGAGACCATACTTGAGGCTCTGGAACCAGGGTCTTGAGAAACACGATTGGACACGCAAGCGCACTGGTTTTACAAAAGCACGCGTAGCAAGCGAATACTGACAAGCAAAGAGGACGCTTTTCGAAAGTAAGCCTGAGCAGGGAAAAGTACATCTATATAAGCAGTGGATGTATGTACACGCGCCAACGCATGACTTATACACGAACGATGAAGGAAACGCAAGCAAGCAAATCTTTACTTTACACCTCAAGCATAATATGTTTCGACCGACGCCAACACGGTTGAAATGCAATCGCAAAGATTAGGCACAAAGTTACAAACAAGTCCAATATCCAAGCCAAATGCGTGTTCCGTTGACCTCGAAGCACGTAACGAATGTTCGGCAGCCGCCGATGGCAGAATTGTCTATACATCTCAGTTCATTACAGCTTTAGACATCTAGGCGCGCAACCCCTACTTGGACAGAGAATGAAAAGCATATACATAAGTTCATACAAATGATAGGAACCTATTTTCACCTAAGGAAGAGGAACATGTATCGAAGGACGGAGGCATAATTTATACACCAAAGGCAAACTGCAGCCTGCAATCACTAGCCAACTGAGATTTTATACAAAACCCATACCAAGGCTTTAAGGGGCGCTGCTCTCAAGCGAAACAGTTTTCTACGCGTCGACGCGTAATGTATACAGTCAAGATATTCAGGCGCGAGATTACCCTTAAGCGTCAGCGCGCAATGTGCACTACGACACGCATGCATCAGGACACGCAAGCACCAAAATGTCAGCGAACCACCACCAAAAAAGCAGAGATACACCACCAAAACAGCGAAGCCGAACAAAAACACGGAAACAAAATCGACACGTCACTACATGAGCAAGACACCACCGACGGAGACACCACCGAAACATGACCGAGACAACGCAAAAACGCGACCCAGACACCACCTAAACATGACCAGTAAGACTCCGGCGAAACATGACCGGGAAGATTTTGGCGAAACATTACCGAGATACTGAGATACCACCTAATTAGCCATGACCGAGACACTGCCTGAACATCACCGAAACATGACCGAGATACCGCCTGGCCTAAACATGACCGAGGCACCGCCTGAACATCACTGATACTCCGCCTAAGCATCACCGAAACACTACTAATCATCGCGAACTTGTGATTCGGAAGATCGGTACCAGGAGCAATGCACTAGTGATATCCTTACCAAGAGTTCGGATTCATCTACTCTTGTTGGGCGCATGGAGACTTTGGGATTGGAGGCCCATAGTAGACTCCGCTACCTAGACCCTGCTTTGCTCTAATATGAGCTCAGCAGAGGAGGAGCGATGAATTTCTGCAGTCATGAGCGCCCAAAACAATCCGTGTCGGCATATGTGTCGATCACGGAAACTGCAGAATATATAGACGTGATGACCATATTTGAGGTGCATTTTTGATCAGAGCACATTTTTCACAGTCATCTGGCAAGATAGTCAAACATGTTGCGTCAAACAAACAAATCTAGGAATTTGGGCGGCGTCTCAGTGTGTCTTGGTCATGTTCAGGTGGCGTCTCGGATCTGGGTCATGTTCTGGGTAATGTTTCGATGGTTTCTTGGTCAATGTGAAACACACTGCTGCAACCAAAGAAAACGGACCTGAACATGCCTTTGGCGTCCGAGTCCTTGCCGACTGGCGAAGCTGTTGGCGCTGCTGCTATCCGACTCCAACACCAAACCAAGCTTGACGCCGACGTCCATGAAGTAGGCCTGCGTTCCCAAGCCATGCGCAGCACCATGGGTCAAAACAAAGAACTCAGCTTCCGACACGTTCAGTCAAAGAACCGTTTGCAGGTTGCTGCTTGCACGACGAACATGGCGTATGCCTGTCGCGCTCTTCCTTCCAAATTGGCGCCAGCGAAGTCTGAGTCGACGCTGATCCGGACGAAGTCTGGCGTCCGCTGCTGGTGGTAGACCAAAGAGATATTGGGCGTCTTGATCAGGTACCTGGCCAATCTCTTGAGCATCTCCCAGTGGGCTGTCCTCGGCTTCGACGTGCCCTGAGCCAGCCGTTTGACGGTCTCGGCCACGTCGGCTTGTTGCTGAGAAATTGAAAGAAAACTGGCCCTCATCACACCTGACTGTATCTCGAAGCGTTCCACCTTGAGCTCAGGTGAAGTCTCCAAAGCTGCTGCTTGAATGTGCCTCTGGTCTGGCTCAATGCGAACCCATCTGCGGCCATCAATCGCTTCGAGCTTCACCACTCGGTTCAACACCGTAGCTTCTTGAACACAGCCACTCACGAAGCCTAGTCGATGGCTTTCTCACGTCTGATACTTCGAACCGAGAAGCAAAGTCGATTCCTCCTCATTGAAGCCAACCTCGTAGCCACCTCCTTTGAGAACCTGCCAACTATCCATCATCCATGCATGGCTAGCATCACGAAAGCCATACACGCCTCTATTCAGGCGACCAACGACATCAATCTGCCGCTGTCTTGTCCTCTCCCATGACTATTTAATTTTCCTCCTTGGTGTCCTTGAAGTCTGTCACCAGGAGGGAGAACAAAGCTTTCACCATCTCCCATGGCGGAGAAAAGCTCATGCGCTAACATCCTCAAGCGAACCTCGTAGCGCGACTTGTCGCCCTTGTTGACATCCACCCAACGGCCAACGAACAGGAAGTATTGGCTTCCCGCTCTTCACTGCTTGGCCCCCTCGGCACCTTGTCGTAGAGCCCAATCTTGTGGATCCAGCCAACCTCCTCAGCTCTCGCCTCTTGAACCAGCTTGGTAGGCAATTGCTCACCGGAGATGTCATCATAGAACTTCTCCACCTCCTCCTTGCCACTCTGCTGGCAGCAAAGGCTCAGTTGGATCTGGTCCGCTTGTATAGGCCTGCAAGCCATCATCTGCCTCTTGATGCCTCTAAGCACGGTGTAAACCAGATCATCGGGCCCATGCCCCAAGCGCACATAGGCCCAACAACTGTGAAGACTCCTTCTCGTTGTTGAAGTCGTTGCATCCGCGGATGATCCCACGAACTTGCTGAACCTGGATGTTCATGAAGAAAGTACTTCCCTTGCTCCATGCGCTCGCTCCTCATGGAAGTCAACGCAAAGACAAAGATGTCGTTCTCCTCTCTCCAACCTCTCTGCTCTCCTCTGTGGATCTGCGCGGTTTTTGTTGATGTTCTGCAGGATGCTGAACGGGTCACACCTCGGACTGCCAGTGAGACGAAATGGATCTTGAACTCTCACCAGCTCCTTCAACTTGAAAACCTGCTGCGGGTCGTCTAAGTCCCAGCCGGCCGGTTTCCAAATCAACTGCAAAGCCTGCATTCAGGCCCAAGTGACGAGCACCTTCCGTGAACCTTGATGGTCTAAAAGGCTCTGCAACGTCCACCAAACCAAGCTCCTTTGTCTCGGCCTCAATCTTCCTCTTCATGTGGTCCAACGCTGCCACTTGCTGCTGCTCATCACCTCATCCTCATAGTCGAAACCCAATGTCCAACGATGGGCTCTGCTCTGTTGGCCTCATGCTCGAAGAAGGTCTCGATGAAGACGATGTTGCGTTGTCACGCGCAAAAAACCTCCTCCAACATAGTGTCTTGAGCCCCAACTGCAACCACAGGTGGATCACTTGGTGCCACCACTTCAGCCTCATCCGACCTCAACATCGATGGGTCAATCTCCTCAGTGGGCTCCTCTGCAGCTCTCTTGTACTTCATGCGCCCTGTCTGTTTCCACCTCTTTAGTTGAATCTGGGCTCCCGGGGTCTGACTCTCTCTTGGACACCCTCACTTGGTGCCTCCTCAAACCTCACCTTCTTCGTCTGCGGCTCATCTACGGCCTCTGCATCCTTCTTCTTGTCCTCTCGCCGCTCTCGAAGTTCCCCACGGCGAGCAACTCGTTCAGTGTGACGTTCAACACGCTGTGGGTCGACCAAGCCCACAATCCTGATCCTGCAAGCATCGGAGTGAAACTGCTGTGCGTCCTGCTCGAGCTGCATCGCATCCTTCGCAACCAGCTAGGGGCAATCTGTGCGTCCCCTTCATCCCAGTCTTGGGCCATGGAAAACCACGAAGCTCATCCAGGCCTTCTTTCGACCAATGATCCGGAATTTGTCCGCACACGACGCCCGTCAAACCGCGCTGGCACACTAGTAGTGCTCCAGCCATAAGTGCTGGGATGCCCCCTGAAGATCTTATTGTTTATCAGGAGTTACTAGAGAAGTTATAAAGGTTATAGGACTTAGCTAAGTGGTTAAGTTGTGAGTGAAAAGCTAGCCACTTAGCAGGCTTGCTTACTGGTTAGCTAACTGGTTAACAGTTTGTATATAAAAAACACCTCGGTCAGGTTTTTGTGTTTTCTTAACAATTGAACATTTTGCAAATATGCCA